GGGCGGGGATCTAACTCGTACTTAAGCAACCACAGCTTGACTTTGCAGTGCAGTGCCAACCCGCTGTGCCACGAGGGTAGGCCCAGGACACTGTTTTTCTTTTCTCAAAGGTTGCCAAGGAAATCATAGGGATGAGGAGTCATCTTTTACCTACAGTTACTGTTTACTGCTCCTGATGGGATTTCTCATGGAAATCACATTTAGACCATCTGCTATATTTTAAAAATTAGACAATAAATGAAAATTGACAATAAAAAGAACCAAAGAAAAATGAAAATGTAAGACTTATTTTTATTTAAATTTTTTTCTCATGAAGAACCAAGCAAATAAAAGTTGTCACTGAATGTAAGACAGTAACAGAAGTCCAGGGCCCTTCCAAATACCCTGGTGGGACTTCTCTTCCTTTAATTGATTGGAAATAATTTTCAGACAGCGTACTTTCAGCAAAATGAAAGAGGTTTTTTTTGAGGGGGGGCATGTTTTATTTATTGGGGGTTCAGTCATATTTCCTGACAAGTAGCTCTTACAATCTTGGTAAATTGCTTATTTTAAAACTGTCTGGACAGTTTAAATAATTCACACTCCAGAAATGGAACCTCTGAAGAATTGCTTTTGCATCTCTGTTTTAAAGTAAATGAATTTGTAGCTTTGTGTTCTGTGGAGAAAAAGTTTTCTTTTACCTTAGACTTTTAAACACCTCTAAGAATTTTTATAGAATTACTACTTTAAGAATTAAGCAGAAATCCCTGTTCTCTTTCCCCTAAGCCAGAGAAAGATTATGATTTTTTTTTTTAATTTCTTTCTGGAAGATGGGTTGCTTTTATGAGGTGACTATAATATGTTCTGTGTCAACATCTGCTGGTCCCCAAATTACTGCTGTGCTTCATGCCCTGCTTTCCAAACTCCTTGTCTACTTCACTGTCCAATATTTTTAAATAAATATCTAGCTTTCCTTTAATTCTGCTTTAAGAAAAAAAGTCTTTTGAAAGAATATTGGTTTAGAATATATTAGCCAGTCAATAGTCCATCAAATAAGAGTATTTATACCTCGCAGGTAAAACAGCTGGAAATGCATTTTTGGCCTAGTGGTAGCTTAATAACATCCAAGTTTTATAGAAAGTTTAACCAGTTGAAACTGATGACATTCAGCCATTATCAACTTAGAAAATTGACAATTTAATCTCACTCACCCTAAGTGTTTAAAGATAGCAAAGCATAAACAGCACTGTTTAGATTGTTTTAAAAGGAAAATGGAATTCCCATTCTATCAAAGGGAAGAGGATTGGGAAGTTACTTCTGACATAAACAAAATTATTGTAATGGCAGCTTAAAAAAAATAGTACTTTGTCCCATGGCCTTGGTTTTTTTGTTCATGTCTCAGCCCCACCACTAGGACAAAGGACCCTATTTCACTTCTGCCGTGGATTACTTGAAGCCTCTGATCTTATTCCTTTTCTCCCTGAGAACCCTCTCACACTTCAACTATATATAATGATAACCACCATTGTTATTTTTTTAATTAGGAAAAGAGTAAAGTGATAGGATCTAATTAATCATTTCCTGTGTGCTAGGGCAGACTTCTGGAAAGTCCTCTCAGACTAGTCACCCCTGCTGTTATTCCCTCTGATGTCAAGACCCTTTGTCAGGTGCAGGTCTTCAGTGAGCATCCATTGACAACTCTTCTTCCAATTCTTGGTCACTGCCCAGAAGCTGGCTTTCACAGTACTTTTAAGGAAAGGTTAATTACTTTCATCTGAGTGCTTTGTCCCCAAGGACTTCAGAGGCAATTCTCCTGTACACTGTAGGCACCTTTTACAGCATTACCATGGAAAACCTAGACTAAGTTCCAATGCCTCAGCTTGACTCTGCCATCATATGACTTTGAGCCTTTTGAAGTCACTTAACTCCTAATTCTTTTTAAAGATTTATTTATTTGTGCATACAGAACTGGGGTACAGGCCAGAGGCTCAGGGGCGGCGAGAGGCTTCACAGAGACAGAGTGGGGAGCAGAACAGGCAGATCGACGAAGTACACTACTGAGGGGAGCAGGGGGCAGGTCAGGAGAGGTCTGCTACGCCATGTGGTCACCTCCAGGGCAGGTGGGAATCAAATTCATGTGGAAGTGGCTTTACCTTCTCAGTGCTGTGCTTTAACCCCTTGCGCCACCAGGGAGGGCCAACTCCTAATTCTTAATGAGAGTATTTACCTTGACCTGTTTTGGTTTTGTCTCTAAAATTGGGCAGTTAAATGTTGTGGTCCTGTGATTCTATGTCTAAAAGTGTCTTGATTTTGCCCTTTTCTAAACTCTGAATAGCAGTATGTACATAATTTATATGTAATTATTTCAGAGCGGGTATTACTAGCACAAAATATAGCCTTTGTCTCCGGTTGGAATACTGTTGACTATAAGGCAATTTTCATGCTTATTCCCCACCTGGTTTAGCTGCCTGAAGTCTTTTTACCACACCATAGCTGGTTGTGTGTACAAGTGTGACTATAAATTTCCCCTGACAGAAACCACATCACCTCATCAGTCACGTAAGAAAATGACAAAACGACCAACTGTGAAATCATGCTTGCCAAGCTTGCTGTTTGACTGCATCAGGGGGAAACACATCGGTCCAGGATGAAATCAAGCCTGGATGAAGCCCAAAAGACAAGCTCTGGTGTACCTGTCTCCTCTAAACTGTAGCATATGGGAAGTGTGTTTGTGCCAGTGAGACAAGAGCTGCAGAAAATCTTTATCTCCTGGAAGCCATAGTGTCAGTCCAGGAGTGGGGAGTGCAGAACAGGAGAACACGGTACCCTGCTTACATACGATTCCAGATCTCTAACAATAATAGTAGTAAGGTCTGTTTGACATTCCTTAACTAAATCTTCACAGAAACCTGAGGTTTAGTGTCATTGTCTGCCTTTTTTTTTTTCAGCCAAGAATATTCAGAGAAAATGCTAGTTAGCAGGAAAGCCAAGATTCAAAGTGGATTGTTTTATCTCACTGCCCATGACTTTATCTTGAACTGACTTTATGGTTGAATATCAGAATCAAATTCAGTATTGATGAGAAAAGGAGAAGTTCTAAACCCCACCCACCTCAAGCTTTCTCTACTTTGTCAGAAAGAATAGTAGAGGAAAGGAACAAACATCTGGCATCACTTAACTTTAAAAAATGACTATAAAGACACCATGAAGAAAGTGAAAAAGGATAATTATTCTTTAAGGAAAAGGCACATACCTAATAAACAATGGCCATGAGTTGAGCAGAAGCTTCCTAGAAATGATTAAACAGATGACCACTGAGCATGTGAAAAGATATTCAGCGTCATTTGTCACTAGGGCCAAATACATTTGAACCACATTAGAAACCACCTCATACCCATCAGGATAGCGAAGATGAAAAGACAACCATAACATGTTGGTGAAGATGTTGAGTAACTGGATCTTTTAACCACCACTGCTGGAAGTATCAGCTAATAAAACCACTTTGGAAAACCATTTGATAGTTTCAGATCCAGCTCAACACTTGAGTACTGAGTGTCTCCGCACTTTTATTTATGAGAGCATGAGCAACAGAAATGTGAACATGTTCATTTTAGATGACCTATTGTAAGTATATAGAGCAGCATATTCCTAGTGGTGAAATTGAAAAACAGCCAAAGCCCAATAACAAGAAACTAAACAAATAACTGAGTATTCATGTAATGGGCATGAAATCCCCAGGGGAATGGACAGATTATTGCTACTCTACTTCATGCCCAAAATGTACTAGAGTGGTTATGATACTGAGGCAGTCATACTGTATGCTACTATTACATGTAGTCCCAAAACAGGGAAAATTAAACTATACTGTTAGAAGATGGCCTAGTATCAGCTTTTGTAGGTGGTGGGAGGGAACATCTGGAGGAGAGCACCTTTTGGGGGATTGGTGAGGTGCTGGTAGAAGTGTTCCTGGTAGAAGTGGTGTCACAGTATGTTCAGATGTTGAAAATTCATCAACTTATTGACTTATATGCATTTTTTGCACTTTAATACTATTTTTTCAAAGTCCTGTATATGCAGATGCTAGTTGGTAATTTTTGACTCCCACTGTAGCAATATAAATCAACTGAGAGATTTATATAAAATAGGAGTTTTGTGGCATATTGCGACCTATATTGTGGGGGGAAAATGCTGATTTTTCTTGATATTATTTCATTGCCCTCTCAATTTTTCTGAAACTCACAATTTAGGGAAGGAATATGAATTCAGTCAATACCAGCAATTAGTTCTGCTTAGTATTCATTCATCCAAAACATTTCTGACTGGTCACATTTTCACCAGGTCATGAAGATCTTTCTTGTCTCCGAGTCTATAATAAAACTTATTGTATGATGTTTTTTATACAGCTGAGAAGAGAAGCATAAGGAGCAGAACTAAAATCCTAAGACCTGGATAAAAACAGATTCTGAACCTTTACTAGGTAGGGAACAAGGCAGGAAAATTCAGGGAAGTCTTCACATGGGCAATCTTCATTTGCAGTAGTAATTGAAATAAAAAGGCAATATAAAATGTTGAAAGAACTTTAGCAATGGCCAAAGAGCAATTTTACAAAATGTTTAGGTAGTGTGCAAGTTGAGTTTTCATGTTCTCATCTCACACAATTAGTTCTAGTATAAGAATGGCACTAGAAACAACAAATTTGTGTTTTAAAAAATGAAAGTTGTGATGTACCATCTGTCAAAGAATCTAATTATGCCTGAGACTGAGACTAAACACTGAGATTCAGGTCTGTCCTTTCTTTGAGGTCTCATACTTCTGCCTTATTATTTGTCCATTGTGGAAAAATCACCTGATTTGTTCAAGGTCACAGCTGGTTGGTAGCAAAGCAAGGAGACCCTAGCATCTTAAAAGTTCAATCTCTTCGCCTTTCAACCCATGATAGAAATTCCAAATGATATACGAACAACAGTTCAAAGATCGTAAGTGTGATATTAATCATCACTTGTAAAATATGTGTATTTCAGCTTGCTTCCCTTGAATTTCCTCCAAAGAAGCTGTTCGGAAACAAGGATGAACGTGTGATTGCTGAGAGGCGAAGTCACTTAGAGGTAATAGAAGTAAACCTACTTTCTCTTCATACAGAAAAACTTCTGAATCTCATTGACCAGTGAGACTTACTCCTGTTGAACACTGTCACACTTGTTCATGATTAAGACGGTGCTGCTTTATTGACACAGGATATGGCAGCAGCATATTATAAAGTAATGATAAGAGTTTATTTAAAAGGTAGGTCTTTATCCTGTTCTGGTCTAACAAAACATTTCTCTGATTTTTAAGGAGATGCATTTATTCTAAGGGTTAAGAAGCAGGTTGTGAGTGAGAACTAAATATTCACCATTGACAGATGGTATGTAATACAGGATGAGGATACAAAGCATGTTGCAGAAAATTTGAATTAATTAGCTGAAGAGTTATAGTATTTCATGATTGTTACTTTTTCGAGCTAGTTGGAAGCAAAAAGACACATACCTATTTTAGGCATGGTTAGGTTTTGTTTGATTTATTTTAACTCAATCTGAGCCACCTACATGTCGAACTTTGGTTCAACACAACTGTTGTTTTTCTGACTGCCTTAATGCCAGTACACATCATTGACTACCTTATATAGTTTATATTACTTTACAGGATAGAGCTGCTTATGTTATTGGAACCTAATGCTAATGAGTTTGAGACTATTGCGGAGGCTCAGTCGCAGGTTGTCCTTGGTTGTTGGTGACCCTCGCATGAGGCAAACAGAATAAGATCACAAATAATACCATCTACATTTTAAGAAGAATAAAGTCACCTATTTCAGGTGAAATCAAATAAGAGATGACACCATAGTTTTTCCTGAATAGTAAAGTATTACATAAAAATTAAATTATCCCCATTCCTAGTGACTACCAGCTGGGAAGGGTTCTCTATGCCGTCTGCTTAATACCCGTGAACCGGGGACTAGGGAAACTTCCAGAAGCAGGGGGTTCCAGGAGCAGACGGGCAGAAGTGGAAAGTATAGAGAGGTTGAAGACTAGGAGATTGTATCCAGGAGGGACATTTTAGAGCTTTGAAATCTTCGCTGTAGCACTGTTCTGAGAAAACACTTGAAGATGTGATCATGCTCACAGGTGTTTGAGCAAAATCATACAGTTGTACTTTTTAAGAAGCCTTGGCACTATTCAGACTGTGGTTTGTTTGGGTCATTGTAGGGTTCTAAAAATCTTCCTATGAGATGATATGACTCTAATATCTAACTGAAGAATTTGCCATCAAGCAAAAGATTATCATGGTGAGCAAGTCTGATTGAGTTCTCATAAAGGTTTGATTATATCATACAAAAAGTTAAAAAATAGTAATAGAGCTAGTGATGTTCTTATGACCTTTACCAGCTTCAGTTCTCTTAACTCACCTTTAATGGAAACAGGGAGAATGATACTATAAAAAAAAACAAATTTATAACGTAAATCAGCAGGACATAGACTGTTGTCATCTGCCCTACGAGGGCTCTAATGTAACTTACAGGGCGAATACCCATGGCCAATTAGGCATTTTGTGTGATGTGCATTTGTGAGTGCAACTGTTGGTGATACTCATCTTCCATTCCAGTCACCAGAGTTCAGCACGTCCTTTCATTCTTGGTACTTGCAAGTAGAATGTGTCTTTTTTTCCAGTATCTCCTTGATCATGTAGCCCTATTAAGCCATCAGCTGTTGAACATTTCTGTTAAGGCCTGCACTGTTACAAGGATCTTTTCTCTTGCCTGTGGCTGTTCTTCACCATGGGATTTGGCTTTACAGAATGAATTCCACAACTTATGAAAATAGATGCTTACTTTTTAAATTAAATGTGTTTCACATAATATTGACAGAAAAACTTGGAACTCTATGGTTTCTTGGAATGAATGTAATTCAACTTCACATTAATGGAAATTAATCTGAGATTCCTCGTTAATTTCCTTTGATTATTATGACTTTTTTAAATCTAACATCCTAAGCTGCTGTTTGATACAGTGTATTTTCATGTGAAAAATAGCCTAATTCTTTCCCTGTACTTTTCAACTTAATTCATTTGTATTTATTTAATTCCATTACATACTGGTAGATAGCGCTAGGTATTTTGTAGTGTGTAAAGATAATTAAGACAGTTCTTTCCCTTTAAAAACATTTAATTTTTTGCATGAAACCATGAAATATAGTTAAATACATAAACCCATGCTGAAAGACTCATCCCAAAAGGACACAATTCATATTAGAAGACACTAATATAGACTGTGTTTATTCAAAAGAATTATCTGGTGATTTTTAAAATCCAGAAATGCAACAGATAGCTGCAACAGTGTTTTAAGCAAACATTCAATCAGTTTTGATCTTTCTTGATATTAAAATATTGCCACAATTTGAACCTTAAATGTATCAGTTAAAAAAAATTAATTCACATTCAATACATAGATACCAAATTGACATTTTCTAAGTTACATAAGTTGAATCTGTTAAAATAACTATTGTACAAATGATGGGAATTAAAATTTTCTGTCATGTTTTAGAGACTCAGTTCTAACCGTGGGTAGAAAAACACTGGTTGTGTGTGTGGTGATAGTGGTGGGGATCAGAGTGTAGGACTCCAAGGATTGTAGCATTGAACATACTGAGGCATAGAAAGTTGGAGCGAGTAAAATGATCAGTGGAGGAATATTCATATGACTTTTTTTTTTAAAGATTTTATTTATGCATACAGAATGGGAGTACAAGCCAGAGGTTCAGGGGTATTGAAAGGATTCACCAGAGGGTAGCAGAACAGGCAGATCCACAAAGTACACTGCTGAGGGGAGGGAGTAGTGGGTGAGAGGAGAGGCCTGCTGCACCATGTGGGTCACCTCCAGGACTGGGATTGAACTCACACTGAAGTGGCTACAGCTAGCCTGCAGTGCTGAGCTTGAACCCGTTGCGCCACCATAGAGTGCCTCCATACTGACTCTTACTGATGAACTTGATTCAACTTCACAAATATATAAAGTTTCCCTGCAATTCTGATTTGTTTTCCGAAACTGGCTGTTACTACTTTATAATTCGTGTTTAAATACCACATGACACTTTTGCTCAAAAGGACCATAAAGTCCCTCTGAAGGTCTCTAAGGTGGTTAGATCTTCCAGTTGCCGCCTCCTGGTGCCTTGGTAGCACCAGTTCCATGGACGTGTGTGTATGGTGGGCGCACTCTGCCATTGCGCTGTCAGAAGATTAGGATAACAGTCCCTATCCTGACATGCTCTGCAGGCGCGTGCAGCCTGTTAAATCCCAGCAAGCAGCCCAGGAGGTACATGTGGGCAGAGAAGCTGTGGAGGTAGTAGGAAAATAATACTTCCATCTTTGCCTGATGAGTTATTTTGAACAGAAAGCTGCTTTTTTACTCTATTTAGAGACAGATACTCTTACTATTATGTTAAACCACATGAAACTGCTATGTTGTAGGTCAAAATAGTGGAATATTGGCAATTTCAGTGTTTCCACATACCAACTGATATCTCACATTTACTAGTATTTACTGAGTTCCCAGCTTGAGTGAAATGTTGCTATAGAAGGCCATTTACTCCTGTCAGCTAGCTTTTAAAGTATGTCCTATTGTTATCTCCATTGTACAGGTAAGGAAGTTTATGTTTTAGGAGGATTAGTCAGGTCATACAGTAAGTTTGGGTTCACACTGGAGTATCTTTGACAAAAAATTGTGTTAATAATCAGCACATTCTGCATTTAAACTGAACATGCATTTAAACTGACACTGGAAGGGCCTCCCCAGTGACCTAGGAGTTAAGTCTCAGCACTGTTACTGCTACTACCTGAGTTCGAACCCCAGCCAGGGAGCTAACCCACATCTGGCAAAGCAGACCTCTCCTATCTAACCCACTGCTCCCCTCAGCAGAGTATTTAAGTAAATCTGCCTGCTCCCCACTCTGGCTCTGGTGAATCCTGTCCTCCAAACCCCCATGCTCCTACATCTGCACCTCTAGCATACACCCCAGTTCTTCTACACATACATGCATAAATGTTAAAGAAATAGGACTGAATTTCCCTATAAAAAAGATGGCATTTCTTTTTAAGAAAGAATGGCCTCCATCATTACTTTCACAATGCTAATTAAGATGTACTGTCTATTTATTCCTGTATACCATTCATTCAGCAATTATTGAGTATCTGTGGTCTGTGCCAAGTAGTATTCTTTATTTTTTTTAAAGATTTATTTATTTATGCATACAGAACTGGGGTACAAGCCAGAGATGCGGAGGGTGAGAGGACTCCCTAGAGACAGAGCGGGGAGCAGAACAGGCAGATCGATGAAGTACACTGCTGAGGGGAGCAGCAGGCGGGTCAGGAGAGGTCTACCACATAATGTGGATCTCCTTTGGGGCAGGCGGGAATCGAACTCATGCGGAAGTGGCTTAAGCTTTTTGGTGCAGTGCTTTAACCCTCTGTGCCACCAGAGAGGGCCCCAAGTAGTATTCCTTAATTAAAGAAATTAGTTTCCTCATCTATGACCACGATAGTAGGGATGGACTTTCTTTATAACCATTTCTTTTATTGGTATTTATAAAAAATGTTTATTGTGATTATTGGCTTTCAGTATTTGCTTCATGACTCATCAAAGTTTCTGAATCTCAATTGCTTATGTTTTTATTTATTTATTAAAGACAGTGGGTCACACTGTTCCCTAGCAGATTTATTTCCTCTCTGAATTACTGAAGAATGTAAATTCATAATAACTTAGAGATTTTTGTAATTTTGAATATTATATGTCATAGATAGACACATATATAGGAATTACATGCATCTGTGTGATTGCAAAGAATTAAATCATGGGCACAATATTTATTAGCAAATAGACCTTCAACATCCCAGAGTGAGTGACTTGGCTTTAGAATGTACTGCTTCTCAAATTACAGTAGTAAAAGGATTGTTATTTTACTCTCCATTATTTATCAATACTTTTGCAAAAGGAGAATTAATTACTTGAAAAGTTCATGTAAAATACAAGACAAGTTTTATTTTATGATAGATAGGTTCCACACATATAAAGTCATTG